CAGCCCCAAAATTTTAGACTTCCCTTTTTCAGGGGATTTCTATGGCTCCATTCCCCCCTCCCCAGATAAGATAAGTTAGTTTATTTGCTACAATCTGTATCATTAATTGTAAATTTTGATCTTTTGTCAGTGCATTATTGTGTTCTTATTTGCAAATTGCCTTGGGAATTGTTCATATGCAAAGTGGGATTACAGCGATTGAAACGGATACATAAATGAAAAATATCCATGGCATGGAGGAAAACGTGCTTGGGAAGAATTTTTAGAGTTCACAGCTTTGCTTGTGTACAAACCCATTTGTGCAAGAGTTCATTTGGCTCATTGGCTACTGATGCTGACGGCCAGGATACATACATCTAGGCTTCATGCTGGGCAGAAAGTTACTGTGAATTTATCATTCCACCACTTTGGAAACCCAACTCTGTGGCAGGGTTTTTGGCATACAAGTGAGAATTCCAACAGTGTTCAGTGTCATTAGCACTGCCTAATACAAATGACTATCATTTTTGCTAACATGTGCCTTAGGAGGCAATGAAACAGAACCTCTTATATGAATACATAGCTATTGCATTTCCCAGAGGCTTTCTGGTCTCAGAAATGCCCATGTTGATTTGTAATTTATGACTGAGAAATCGCTGCAAAGTCTACAGTGAACTGCATACCTGCAACATCTCGTAAACCTAGTTTCTGGATTTGTTTGTCCAGTAAAGGTAAAGGTAAAGGGACCCCTGACCATTAGGTTCAGTTGTGGCCAACTCTAGGGTTGCGGCGCTCATCTCGCTTTATTGGCCGAGGGAGCCAGTGTACAGCTTCTGGGTCATGTGGCCAGAATGACTAAGCCGCTTCTGGCGAACCAGAGCAGCGAACAGAAACACCGTTTACCTTTCCGCCGGAGTGGTACCTATTTATCTACTTGCACTTTGATGTGCTTTCGAACTGCTAGGTTGGCAGGAGCAGGGACCGAGCAACGGGAGCTCACCCTGTCGCGGGGATTCGAACCGCCTACCTTCTGATCGGCAAGTCCTAGGCTCTGTGGTTTAACCAACAGCGCCACCCGCATCCCTTGTTTGTCCAGTACTGGTAGACAAATAAAAAGACATGAGAAGAACTGGTTGAGGCCAAAGACCCATCATCATCCAGTATCCTGCTCCCACAGGGGTCAACTTAGATGCCCATGAGAAGCCCACATGCAGGACCTGAGTGTAACAACACTCTTCCCCGCTCAGTTTGATTCCCAGCAACTTTCTAAAGCATGTGGATAAGGCTAAAAGGGATCACAGAAAATCTTCACTCAACTTGAGCGCTGTATAAAGTAAATGGCAGCTCTGCAAGAAGTGGCCAATAATTTCAAAACAAAGATGTTAGAATTAGATCGGCCAATATAATCCCTGTCTTAAAAATGCTGGAAGTGGTAAAAAATGGATTCTTCAATATTATTGTGGACATCCTTTCCCTAAAGGTACAGTTGCAAAATTAAATGTAAGCTTTATATTTGATATTATATATGAGTTTCCTCGGGTCTCCTGAGGAACAACAACAACTATTTATCCAAATGGCCTAGGCAGCACTCAAAACTTAAAAGAATAGGGTACTCATCTCTGTATCTTGTTCTTACGCCAACATATCCAGATAGTGGTGACAAGGTGCTTGTCTGAAGGGGAAGAGAGAGACAATTTCTAGAGCACTGAGGAAGCTGCCATTTCTTATTTTGTTCTGTGTCTATTAGTCTTTCAGTTTTTCACTGCAACGTTGCTGGAATACATTCCCTTTCTTCAGATATGGACTATTCAATTAAATGCTTGTGTTGATTGAAGTCTGAGGACTTGGTTCATTTCATTATCTGCTCTCTGGCATTTTAAAAATCACCTTTCCATATAAAAATGTGTTTTTATACCTTATCTCATATTGTACCATCTAATGAGAAACCACACAAAACCACGCAGTCACCACCCAAAGCAACAACCGCAGGTCAACACAAGTAAAATAAAAAAATGTAGCCCATATAATTCTTTAAAAGTCTTGTCAATATTTAATTTACGCCCCCTCCCTGATTTCCCCACCTCCTGTGACTTTAGAGGGCACTGGCACCATCCATCATATTGATCTTAATTTCTCAGTCAACTTCTTTTTGGATGTTAAATAAATGTCTGAGTCAAGAAAGGGGCTGAATCACCTGGCTTGCCGCCTGCTGTTATTCGCCTGCTGCTTTCTCCTCTATCCCCAGAGTTCTGAATCTCCAGATCTACCTACAAAAACAAAAGAAGCAGCAGGTAGATCCTACCCTGTTAGATGAGATGTCCGAATGCCAGCTAAAGCAGACAGCTGTCCCCTGAAGCTGCTCAGGAAGTTATGGGTGCGGCTTTCTGTCTCAGACGAATCATGACAGCTTGCCTTGCATAGAGAGAGGGGTTTTTTTGACATCTGAGGGCACCTGGGCAGCATGGCAGCTGCTATTTAGCACTGGGGAATTATTGTCTGTCCAGAGCAATGTGAAAACCATAATTATTTCAGCTGGTTTGGTTCGCTATTCTTAGAATCCTTTAAAATTCCAGCATAACCTCTGAAGCTCAGAAATGTGTTGTACTCCTCGTTGCTTGCTGCAATGAACAACAACGAGAAAATTATATATTATATATGTATTTTCAGTTCATGGTCTTAACCCGTAGTTACTGACTGTTACTTCCTGTCACTTCCAAGACCAGACAGTCTCTGCCTTTAGGTGCTGCTTTAATAGGGAGTTTGCGCTCAGGTTGTTTCTAGGTTTTTCAAATTTGTCCAGAGGTGACAGACCTGTTTATAGCAATCAACCAAGGAACAAATTCAGCTTCCTCAGAGATATTTGCTAATTGCCTTCTCCATAGACTCCAGAGGTCAGTGAAAATACATCGCCTTAGGTCCAAAAGGTCTGGTAGATTTTAAGCTAAGGAATAATGATGCAATAATTCATACGGTGTAAGTTTGCTTTTTGAAAGGAAAGTGCTGTTTTGTTGTTGTTGAAGCTGGATGCATAAAATAACAAAGAGCCACATGTCACAACCTGCCCTGGGACCAATATTAATAAATGTTAAGCCCGTTTTTTTAAAAAATCCTGTGGAAGAAGACATTTGAGGACTATAGGCATGCTTTCTGTTCCCAGCCACTGACATCACCTCTGTGGAGAAGGCAAGGAAAATGGCCAGTGTGGAGCAGTGGTTAGAGTGTTGGACTGTGAAGTAGGAGACTAGAGTTCAAATCTCCACTCAGAAAAGAAGTTCACTGGGTGACCTTGAGCAAGTCACTGCCTCTCAATCTGACCTACCTCACAGGGTTGTTGTGAGGATAAAATGTGGAGGGGAACGCCATTTACCCTTGATTTCCTTGGAGAAAGGTATAAATGTAACAAACAAACTAACCAACTAACTAATAAATAAAAATGGTTATATACCATTCTTTGTTTGCTTTGCATCCAACTGGTTCTTTTGAGAAACATTCCTCTAGCTTATACACAGTGGTGCCATGAGGGCAGAATAAACAGACACCACCCCCAAAATGTAGCACATATTGATGTGAGCAAAGCAATGTACATTACCATCTAAAGACAGCCCTCCCCCTGTGATAAAACCATTGCCCAGAGTATAAACGTAGCTACTACATTACAGAGTGATAGCTAATTGAATCAGACCCATTGATATGAATGGATTTAAGTTACTGAGGGTTGGCATGGTCAGATATTATTATATAAAAATTATACACTGCTTGATTGCTCTAAAGCCTCTTGGATCTGTTGCAATGATAAGGTATACTCAATCAGGGAGGGTGTCTTATCTAAGGTACCTCCAAAACCTGGAGTCAGCATTGATGAGACTTCTGCTTATAATAAGTTCCTTATTAAACTGTTTGCTAAGCATTCATTGGAATGTGCGTGCTGTTCGCTTCAAACAGTTATTGGCAGGGGTGAACTTTGATTGTCTTTTTATTCAATAGCAAATCTAGAAAGTTTCCTAAAGTATCTGGAGTTCAGTATATGCCTGTCACTTTGTCTAGAGAAACTGGGTCAGGTGTGTTGTGCTAAGCTGCTAAGAGGAGCTGCTTGCAGGTGTGAGCTAGCATCTTCAAAAAGTTCAAGTGAAGCTCATTTGTGCTGGGTTCATCATATTGAGGACTGCTAAAAGCACAGCAATTGCATTCATTTGTTCGTTCATTCATTTATAGGCACTGTTATGCCATTGTTAAATTATATTCTTAGGGCCGTGTATATATATCAAAACTGTAGCTAAAAGCTTGGGGAAATGGAAAGGTTGTCTCCTGGTTCAGAAAAGACAACAACAACAAAAGGGGGTTGTTTGGAATATTTTCATTTAAATGTTTTACTTATTTATTTCCCTCCTTAGTTTTAATGAATGTATAGGGTTTTTTTTTAATTTGTTGGTTGGTTGGTTTTATTTTTGTAAAGATGCCTTGAGCTGCCTGTGGTGAGGGAAGGTGTCTAAGAAATTTAATTAATTAATTAATAATTAATTAATTAATTAATTAATAATTCGACAAACCTCCCTGGGGAAAAGCTTTTCCCAACTTGAGAACTACTTTAGAGAAGGGCCTCTCAGGTAGCCTTCCTCCTCATCTTAGACAGCTGGGTCTCCCACAGAAGGTCCTCTGTAGGAAGTCCTAATCTACAGCTGGGCAGATTTCAAATTTTTAATGGAAAAAAACCCAGCAGGTGCACACCAGATTTGTAACGGAAACTTTTCTGACTTTCTCAAAAGGACTTGTTGACCCCTGTGACCTTCAAGGAATGCTGTTCCATTGAATCAAAGGGTGAACTGTTTTATTTGCAGAAAGCTCGTGTTTTGAGATTGGCAGCTCAGTGCTTGTGGGGATTCGATTTTTTATTTTTTATTTATTTATTGCTTTTTGGCTTCTGTTCTTCCTCTCTCATTGCAGCTCATCCTAGAAAAATCAGATTCTCTCTTCTGGATGTTAGCTGTGACTCTGCCTAACATTTATCTCGCTTTTCCTTGCAGTCCCCATGCCGTCTTAGAGCGCCTGAGGATCAGAGTGAACAGAATTAGTTTACAGGATTATGAGGGACTGCATTATGACAAGGAAAAGCTTCGGGAAGCTTGTAAGTATATATATAAGCATATGGCTGATTAGTATAACCGCATTCATGTGTTCTCCTATGTATATAGGTAGCCTTTTGATATCGGGCTGACATGTGTTGGCTGGGCTTAGTCAACAGCCATTTGCTGTCACGTCCTGCCTTCTTTGCTTTGTGCTCCACCGAAGCCGAGTGCATTCCTGATGCCTGGCAAGGTGGCTTTTATGAGGGAAAGCATTGGGCAAGAAGATTTGTGTGCATTTATAGCATCTCCTGCCCTCCAAACTTATAGCTTGGCGCCATTTTGAAAGAGCAAGTTGGGACTTCCCCTGTGTTTACCTGCATGGTTTCTTTTAAAATGCTGCTCCTGTAGTTGGACGCTTCCTGTAAACAGAAACCAGCTGATCTCTCTATGACGTTTAGTCCTTTGTTGCAAGAAGCAATCTCCAAAGCAGACGCGATCATTATAGGTATACAGTGGTACCTCTGGTTGCAAATGAGATCCGTTCCAGAGGCCCGTTCACAACATGAAAATCCTGCAACCTGAAGTGCCGTATCTGTGCAGGTGCGTGGTGCAATTTGGTGCTTGTGTGCATGTGCGAAGCGCAATTTAGCGCTTCTGCACATGCGTGAGCGGCGAAACCCAGAAGTAACCCTTTCCGGTACTTCTGGGTCGCCATGGGATACAACCTGGAAAAAAGTAACATGAAGCAAACGTAACATGAGGTATGACTGTAATGGTTGAGCAAACAGGGAATCAAGAAAGATAGAGATCTGGTGTGGCAACGGACAGCTGTGGTGGATAAGGCAAAAGTAGCAACTCCTCTTTTCAGAGCAAGCAGGCCACTTGTTTGGAAGAAACCCATACCATAGGATATGTACACAGGCCACAGAGAGGTTAGGCTGGCCTCAACCAGAGCCAGGGCTTTTTTGGCTGTGGCTCCGATCTGGTGGAACGCTCTGTCACAAGAGACTAGGGCCCTGCGGGACTTGACATCTTTCCACAGGGCCTGCAAGACAGAGCTGTTCCACCAGGCCTTTGGCCAGGGCACAGCCTGACTCCCTCCTTTGGCAATCTTCACAGAACTCTAGCCCAATGGTTGCCATCAATTTGATTTGAATTAATTTTATAATGAAATGATGTTAGAATGTTGTATTATTTTATTGTTAGCCGCCCTGAGCCCGGCTTCGGCTGGGGAGGGCGGGATATAAATAAAATAAATTATTATTATTATTATTATTATTATTATTATTATTATTATTATTATTACCATCATGCCCTGCTGGTGCACTTTCTTGAGACATCTGGCAAGTCTGCACGGAATGGCGAAAGACTGAATCACACACTTCATTCTGGCATATGAATGATACAAATGTCTTATACCATAAGGGCCTCATGCAAATACCCTTGTAGTCATGGAGAAGATTCCCATTAATTTTCCTGATTCTCAGTTAAGACCTTATCAACCTCAAACTTCACAGCTCTGCTGAGAAAAACAATACACAATTTCTGGGAGAAAGTACTGTAGCAATTAATGGTCACGTTCAATCAATGGTGCAGAAGTCCAAGGGAGAGGTCAGCCAATCTGGCGCTGCTGTTGACGGCAACACCTTAAAATGAAGTCCTTTTCCTTGGTGACATGCACGGAGTCATTAATCAGTGCAGGATGTGGCTGCTTGCGATAACAGTTTAATAGAGTCTTGTTCATGCATCTGGCTCATTATTCATATTCAATTACAAGGACGGCTGTTTGTTATGTAACAAAGCTGCAGCTTCCTTTTTTTACAATATGGGATTCCCTGGTAATTACTGGATGGCAAATCTTCTAATTGGTTTGCTTATCTTCTTGTAGAAATATGGTTATTCTGTTTAGACAGGCTTATGGTCCCAGACACACACACCCACCACACCACACACACACACACACACACACACACACACACACACACCCTTTTCACTGTTCACTGGTACTCTTTCCCAGAGTTGAAAGATGATGGTCTCAATAATGGGAACACAGGTTCTTCTAACAAGACTAGTGCCAGCTCTTGCTACATATTTCCACCCAGAAAATTAAAGCCTTCGTCATGGGTTTGCCAAACATTCTTCATGAAGATAATTGTTAGGGTTTGTGGGGAGAAAGCATATTAATTATTGAAATTATGCTAGCTAATGTCGACTGCCTGGTTTGTGGTGGGAGAGCTGTCTTGGATGGTGCTGAGCAGAACTCTTCATTGAGGAAAATTATTTGCCTGAGGAAAAAAATTGCCAGATTGCAACAGCAGAGGTGATTCACCTTTGTAACGTGTGGGCGTGGTGCACGACAGTACCTCCAACACAATGGGGCAGTTTGGACATCATGATAAACCTTTGTTTATTGGAGGGACATGGAAGAAGACATTTGGGGACTGTAGACTTGCTTTCTGCTCCCAGCTGTGAGCATCATCTCTGTGGAGAAGATAAGGAAAATAGCCAGTGGAATCAATGGACTAAGACATGGGAGACTAGGCTTCAAATCCCCACTTGGTCATGAAACTCACTGGGTGGCTTTGGCCCAGCAACAGTCTCTCAGTCTAGCCTACCTCACAAGGCAGGATATAAATCTAACAATAAATAGCCTTTGACTTACCCATTCATGCTCCCCTCTCCAGTGGTGAAGGTATTGGAATCCTCTTCTTCAGTTTTCGAAGAAAACAGCTTGTTTCATTTGAACCTGGCAAACTATGATTCACCTTATCTGTAGTTTGTTTTAAACCAGCCCACTTCAAACTAAGAGTTATGAAGACAGCTTAGCTTAACAAACCACAGTTAAGATTAATCACAGTTTAGGGTTCATGTGTAATGCTAAACCATGGTTAATCAAAAATGGAAGTGAAAGCTTCATCTCCTTGTGGATGTGCCACAGGAGGAGTGAGAAGGGCGAGGAGACCATGAGTCTTTGACTTGCTATGGCTTCTCCCATCATGTTAAAACAGGAATAAGCAATGTGGGGCCCTCTAGATGTTGTTGCACTTCAATTGCCATCAGCCTAAGCCATCATGACCAGTGCTGATGGGATACTTGGAGTTGTAGTTCAGCAACACCTGGAGGGCATCACTTTGGCTTCCCCTACATTAAGTCATGGTTTACTAGGATGTCCAGTATCTCTTTTGGATGTCTCTCTTTTGCGGAAAAAGCTGTAGATCACTCTCCAAATGCGTGGGTCATGACTCTTTCCCAATGTTCCCCTTTCAATCTTGTCCACCTAAATAGGCAGTAAATGATGAAAATCATAACATAGAAACCCGTTTAAGAATGAGCCATTTTATTATCCCTTTGGGAGCCCTGCAGGAAAGCTATTAAGATTTTTGCCTGAGACATGTCTTCATGATGGAGCATCAAATACTTCGACACCAGCGTAATAACCTGGATCATCCAAACTCAGAGTAAATAAATTTTGCTCTTCTTGTTTGCTTGAAATACCAATTTGATTCTATCAGTGGCCTCATCTGAAATTGAATTTTTTTTACTCCTGCATCCAACTCGTCATACATGCTGTTCAGAGAAGATTAATCTGGGCTCCACTGGAGGTAGACAACTCATTTTTGAAATCCTTCCAAGAAATTAAATGATTCCATACTTTCCTTTGTAATATTGAAACAACCATTTTTTTTACCTTATTTTACCCCATTTTTGTTACTCAATCCACTATTTTATTTTAGTTCTTTCTGTCTCCCATCAGAGCACTTTGATGATAGAATGGAACAATATTCTTATAAGAGGTACAGGTATTCACTTAGGACAGTAAATGTGTGTGTGTGTGTGTGTGTGTGTGTGTGTGCGTGTGTGTGTGTGTATGCTTGAGAGGTAATCCAGTTCAAGTTCCATCACTGTAACCAAATCATTCCCCAAAGATGAATTTGTCCAACCAAATTGCTTAGTTCATTTGTTCTTTAAGGGTAAGTGTTCTTCTGATACAACAGTTTCCACCCGGTGAGTAATTTTGGAATGACTTCCAAAATCTCCATATAGGTGAATGTTACATCAAAGGGGAGCAAAATGAATTAGTGGAGAAAGTAACAAAAATCTTAAATTTCTAATTTTTAAATGAGGCTTATTGTCTTAATGGCTGAAGACAGGTGCTCAGAAAATGTGTGGGTAGTACTTGGTGAACATCAGAAACTGAAAAAGCACTTGAGAATGAGTCTGATTCACCAGACAGAAGGGGCTTCATTCATCCCCTTGGCTACTTATTCACAGAAGACTTTGCTGTTGTATCTTCCAAGTGTCAAATCCTTTCCTCCTCAGAAGTCCTGGGTGACTTGAATTCTGGAGGCACTTACATGAAATAATCCGGTCTATACAAATAGGCTCAATTTGCATCATTTATTTTAATTGTAGCATTTTCATCAGGAATGGGGAACCTGTGGGTCTCCACAGGTATGGCCAGTGAACAGGGATGATGGGACCTGTAGACTGACAACATCTGGAGGGCCACAGGTTCCCCATCCTGGCCTCATATAGTAACTGCCAGTTGTATGCTACTGGCAAGGCCAGGCTGAGTCAAGCAGCTGCACCCAAATATAGATCTGGAGGGTCTGACTCTGACCTCTAGCTCAGAGTCTGTAAAGCCAGTGCACCAAAGCTAGAAGTTGGAGCCTGATGTTTAGCAAAGAAAAGCTACTGCTCTGGATTTCCAGAAGGCAGAAGAAGACAAACCTCCTAGTGTCTATGCCAGTCTGGTTGACCCAAAGGAGTGTTTCTGTGCTTAGGTCTAACCATATGCCATGACGAATGCATTGCCAACTGCTGACCTGTGCTTTCTCCTCATTCTCCCCAGTGACGCAGTTCTAGGATGGCACAAAACCAGTATGCATTCTCTGGCAGCTATTGGGGCCACAGTGTCCCCTCCCTTCTTTAAAAGTGTATTGTAGAAGTACCAGTCAGTTGGGAGCTGTGATTTAAGTTCCCCACAAGGACCCAGGATGATGATGCACCAGGAGCATTATGGGAAATTAAATTGGCAGTTCCTAGAACTGACAGAGCACTTCATCCCACCACCATATAAGCCTACTAGCGGCTGCTAGTCTCTCTCTCTCTCTGTGTATTTTCTACCAGTGAGCACTTTGCCAAGGGCTGATTTGAACCTGGAGTTTGTCCAGATTACCGAAGGCACGAGCGATGTGATGTCACCGTGCTCAGAATTAAGTAGCCCCTGTCAGCAGCACTCGGCCAAAAATGGAATGACTGCTTTGTTTCGGCGTAATATTTCAGCAGGCGAAATGGAGCTCTTGCTTCTGATAAAAACACACTCATTTCCCCCGTGCTGAAAAGTTTAATAGAAGAAAATAGCACGAGAATTTATGAACCAGCTCTCTCTTAGCCCACTTACAGGAACAGCAGTGATGTACTGGTTCTTGTTGTAAAAAGATAGAAACCAGCAGCTAATGAGGAAGCATCAAAACTAGATCCCAGCAAGCCCTTAAATCATAGTTCTTCAAATACTTCTTTTTTATGGCATGATAAGCTAACCAATAATAGTATGCAAGCAGACTTTACTCTGTCAAAGAAGCAAAGTTTGACAGCCATGTCCATTTCACATCTTATCAGTGCCTTGATGTCACTTTTGAAAACCTCTGACATTTGCACTAAGAACAGGGATGAAGAGAACCTTTTTCAAACCAGGGTCTGTATTCCCTAATTTCAAGGGTCTTATGCCACTGGTGGGCAGGGCAATTGATGTGACACTGATGCTCACCTTTGTACAATCCAGCCATGCAAAAGCAAGTGGCTTCTACAGTTAGCATCTCTTCATTCAGACATGCAAGAAGCATTGTTATAGTTCAAGTGGACGTTCTAGCCAGGCAAAAGAGCTGGATGATAATGATCACCTGGAGGATAATGCATGAAATGAGTTATTGCATTTCATGGTCTTTGTGGATACACTGCTTACATTTTAATATTTTCTTCTGTAAATGTGTGTATAGATACTTGGCAAATGAGGATTTTCCTTAATGCTTCTGATGAAGTGGGCTGTAGTCCACGAAATCTTATGCCACTGCAGTTGTTTGTTAATTTTTCTTTAAAAAGATCCTTCCCAATATTTATGTACCTGTAGTTGAGTTCCTGCCCTGTTAATGAAAGAGAAGTGGTTGAAGGGCACAAGGAGGGCTTGGTCACTTAATTTGATAGTGTCAGTAGTGGCTAGTGTCTGTAGATCTAACTTGATAGGCATCTTCTGAAAAGTCTCTCTGGAGCATCTCACCCATGGACTACACGTCTTGATGCCAGTGGTCTATTACTAGGGTATTTCCCCCCTTTCACATGAATAGGACAAAGTACTTCCACATTAGGAGGGCTGCACTGATTAATGTTGAGAAGAGTATCCTTGTTGCTTAAAGTAGCATTGTGCAACACTTGATTTATTGGGGGAAAGGTAGGGTTTCCTTCTCATTTTCATCAAATCACTCCTTGTCCCACTCAACTGCCTTCCAAATATTATACCTATGGGTTACAAGAGAAGGGGACCAGGTCCCACCTACCTTGTATTCTGAGCACTGACACAGGAGCTAAATTAAAGCTCCCATGAGATGTATGGAAAGGTAAACAGAGTGAAAATACATGGGGGAAAATCTTAGCCTGCTGTTGCTTCTTATGCTTTTAAAAGCTCTGCATTAAACAAAGTGCCAACTGCAGACTATTCATTAATTTCCAGCACGGCAGAAATGAATGTCAGAAACAGTCCTTTAATTCTTAAGCCATCGCAGCCAGCTTAGAGCTCATAATATGATCAACCATAAGCAGTTTGTGATGAGTTCGATAGAAGAAAACTAAATTGTTTAATGATGCATCAATATGTAATCTTGAAGGTTTTTCATCTGTTTGAGGAATTTAAAGCTCTCCCATGTATTTGAAATGCACTGAGTATGTATTTTTGAAATAGAGTTGTTGTTATTCAGTTTCTGTGCACTACAAAAATACAGTGCCAATGATGTCTGGCTTGGTTTATTCTTTAACTGTTTCAGCACTGTTGTCAATGCTGCTGGGTAGAGAGGTCCATGCTCATACACACTCTTGCAAAGGTGGAAGGACTAGCAGTATTAGGGCAAAGAGCATAATTCACCAAGAAATGGGATGGGAGCTATGCAGGAACTACTGTGGTTCTACACTAGGGATGGACAACTGCAGCCCTCCAGATATTATTGAACTCCAGTTCCCATCAGCCCCAGCCTGCAGGACCAATAGTGAGCGGTGATGGGACTTGTAGTCCAGCAACATCTGCAGGGTCACAGGTTCCCTGCTCCTACACAGCTCTGATTCAGTTCAGTGGGGATCGAACAGGAGAACCTCCTGGTGGATTGTGTCCAAAGCTCCTAGGAGACCAGGACACATGCAATTTCTTTTCTGTGATTTTTGCTTTTTTACAAATGGGGATAAATGACCAGATGTTAATGAAACCCAGTGTTTCCATGGTGTTTTGAATTGCGTTACTGGATTTGCTCACAAATTTATTGACAGCTGCACGAGTTATTATAGCTAGGAAGTGGAAGGGGCAAGGTGAATATAAAATGGAAGAGTGGTATAAAGAGGTGCGGGATATTAGCTATTAATGATAAATTAACACACCCTATTAAGGTAAGATGGGGAATACGCAGGAGAAAAGATTTTGAGGAGATATTGAGGGTGTTTGTAGAATTTGTACTGTTAAAATAGAAAGGGGTCAAAACATCACAAGAGGTGTTGAAATTTTGGGAGCCTGGATAGTTAAAATGGAATGGTCTCAGGGGTGGGGGGCAGATTTTATTCTTATTTATTTATTATTATTACTATGTCAAAATAAAAAAATATTTTTTAAAAAAGAATAAATAAATTGCTTTACTTTGATTCCCCATGCTCTTTACATTACTAAAATTCATGAAAGCCTGCTCCAATGAACAATGGTGTACGTAGCATGAAAATTTCTACTTTCTCTCTCTGTGGGAATAATGTGAAATATAGTAATGTCACTTTATGTTGTCGTGAACAGCCTTGACTAGATTTTCTGAATGAATTCTGATTTTTTATTATTAACTATGCTGAGGTGACCACAGTTGAGATACCTCTGTTTTAAAGTATGACTGCAATCCAGTACATGTTTCCTTGGAGTAAAACCCATTGGCTTTCTAGGTTGGTGTGCACCAGGCACACCATAGACGGCAAACCTATAACCCTCCAGGTGTTGTTGGACTCCAACTCAGTAAGCATGATCAATTTTCAGGGATGATGGGAGTTGTAGTCCGCCAATATCTGGAGGACCACAGGTCAAACGAGCCTTGTTGTATAGGATTGTGCTGCTAAAAAGATTGCACAGTACTGTGATTTCTTTCTGTTTTGCAATGTGCTGTAGTTATTATTATTATTATTATTCCTGTAGCTATTCCTCTGGGAATGATAGTTGTCAGAGGAGACTGTGATTTGGAGACCTGTCGCATGTATGTGGATCGCCTAGAGGAGGTGAGTTGCCCCAAATTACACACATGTACACAGGTATTCAGGGCCGGATTTAGTTTGATGAGGCCCTAGGCTACTGAAGGTAATGTCCAGCTGTCCTTTGTCAACAACAAATTGTCGCTGTTTTTTGTGTTGCAAATATGCTATATGGTAATTTATGGACCTAATAGGTATCTAAAGCCATTTGCACATAACAAAATATGTACCATATTTTATCAAAGTAATTGTTGAACTGAAATACAATTAAGCAGAAGTATATTTATAGTGAAATACAATTAAGAAGAAGTATATTAATAGTGAAATAATTATTAAGCTCTAACTTAAAATGATTTTTAAGTTAGAGCTTAATAACAAACTTAATAATGCAAACACATTGGCATTTAGCAATAACAAAAGTTCCTTTAGAAACACAATTTACAAAGACTCATAATCTAGTCTCTATAAACAAGCTATAACATGAAATAATAATAGGTGTAAATATATGATGCAAACTACTAATAATTACAAATAGCAGAATGTAGGCACCTTATATAGGGGCCCATTACTTAGATCATAGGAGCCTACACAACATTTTGTGACATGTCTGAACAATAATAAATGAAGAAGTTTGTATATGCAACAAGTTAGCAAGGATGTTTGGAAAACGATGGAGGCTGAGGCTGGTTTGGGACTAACCATTCATTGTTTTGATCTTTCTCCCTCTAGGATTTACAATCTGTAAGTTCAACAACACAGAGAGTCCACTACCAGGTACAACATAAATGGTTCCCAGTCTTTTTAAAAGTCTCTATTGTCCTTGTCTCTAAGTTTTCCAGCTAGCTTTGCCATTTCAGCATAGTCCATCAGTTTTTCTTGCCATTCTTCTTTAGATGGTATCTTGTCTTCTTTCCATTTTTGGGCTAGTAATATCCTAGCTGCTGTTGTGGCATACATGAATAGTCCTCTATATTTTCCTGGCAAGTCTTGACCTATAATTCCTAGCAAAAGAGGACATGACTCTTGAGAGAGGGCAAAGCCACATTCGCTTCCTTTTTATATAATATTTTCAGTTCAGGCAAAGATCACCTGCAGCAGTTTCTGTTTGCATTTACAATCTGTTTTTGAAGGTTCATCCTCCAGCCTGCATTTTAAATATAATCTCGTCTGATTCACGGAGTTGCATTTTTAATCTTGTTTCGCCTTAAGGAATATTCTCTTGTTATCACCTTCATGCACTTTCCACATCATTTTCCCCAGCATGCTTGCGCACACGCTAAAATGAAGAGTTTAATAAAGTATAGCACCAGCAAGGGGACCTACCTTATAAAGAGAGAGAGAGGTGTTCTACATTTTTGAATTTTCTCATGTAGAATAAGGGCTCATGCCATTAAGATCAGTCGGGATGGTCTCAGGCCAGTCTTTGCTGCTCTTTCCAAAGCGTGAAAAATCAATAAAAGGTGAAGTTAGTAATGGATCATTTCTTTCAGAGTGTTTCGTTTCCAAAAAATAGGTACATTAAATATTTGCATGGAATAGGTATTATCGTTACCACCACCACCATCATGATTTAATATATTACCTGCCGTTCACCAGCAAGCCCCAGTGTGAATTACTACACTTTAAGAACAAAACAGTGAAAACTGTTCTTCCAAGGACCCTCAGTAGCACAAGGAAACTGCATTTTCTTTACTGAGTGTCCCTTCATAAAAAAGTAACATTTCGAACCCGATCCAACTAAAGTTGTGACTCCAAACCTAAGTAGACATGGCATTAAATGCATGAACACAACTGACATTTTTATTATTATTACATAAATAGTAAATCTTGAGTTATACCAAGTCCCATGAGATGGACTGTTACTGTAGTATATAATATATACTGTAGTATTTAATTATTATTATGTATTTGTTTATACCCCTCCCCCCTTTTCCCTTATGGGATTCAAGGAAACTTGAAGAAAGAAACAAGAATCACTAAAAACTTAGGGGGGGGCCGTTAAAAAATTAAGCATTAATAAAATTAAAATTATATACATAGATAACATCTGTTTAAAACATACATATAATTACAATAACAACTGTAGTAGTTATATGACCCCCATCTGCAGTGAGAAGTAAATATCAGGACAAAGGTTCCAGACTCGTGTTTTCCCTAACATCATAGATTTTTATGGTGCATAAAAGTTTTTAATGGGGGAACATTCAACAATATGACCCCCCACCAGCAACCTGAAATTCTACAGTCCAGAAATGGGTTTATAGTCTCATCTCTTATCTGTCAGGACTATACTTCTGTTGCAACTAACCTGAAGCCTTGACACTCTTCCTTGCAGCTAGCATTTCATAGGTGAGGGTCATCGTCTTTGACGGTTTGCCATTGAAATGGTTCCAGTCTCTTTTTAATCCACATTGTGGAGAGGGATAATGTAAAATATGAACTGGAGGGGGACGGGACAATGAAGTCGTGGCAGATGCTTGAAATGAGATTTCTTCCAGGACCTGCACATTTCGGAACAAATCCTTCCTTGAGGGGCTTTTGAACAGCAATTCTCATCAACAGCAAGGGAATTATTGTTGGATTCACTGCAGAGTTCTTTGCTTTTGATGAGGACTGCTGTTTAGAAGTGCTACAGAGGAAAGGCCCTGTTCTGAAATGTGTTGGGCTTGGAAAAAATCTTGTTTCAAGCATATGGAGTTGCTTCCTCTCCTCTTCCCTGTTTTTGGTGCTTTCCAAGTTTTGTGGTTGGTAAAATATGAACTGTCATATTGCCTTCCCTCTGGTGATGGATGTCTCCACCTGTACCAATCAGATTGGCTTGGACAGAAGTCAAGCTTTTCCCCCCCACCTGCAAAGTGCTTCTCAATGTAGTGCTTTGAAAAGGGCTTCTGAAGACCCCTGGGAGCAAAGAAGGTCACCTGACATCATTGCGATGTCAGGTGATAAGTAAGTGGCTCTCCCCACCTGTCAAATGTGGCCCACAAAGGGTTGAGAAAATCATGATTTGGCCTCCCAGGCAGATCCAGTTCCCCACCCCTGATGTATATCAATGAATCACCCACCCAGTTCCACAAGTAAGCCTCTTTGAATCCTCTAGTGCATCATCAGTACTTGATTATTACTCATTTTGAATGGACTCCTAGATTCTCTTCAATTTCCCAGGGAGTTATTTATGTATTCTCTGAGCATCTCTTTGAGCTCTCAACCCAAAGCAGCGTTGTCTTGTTATCAACCTGGTATGAATTATAGAGAGAAAGGCGGACGGTACCTGCGCTCGAGCCTTTTAGTTAATAGAACTATCTTCCTGTCTCACTAATAAGGTGTCTGGGGCACTTTTAGATCTCATAAACAAAGTACATTTCATTCTTGGGGCTCCCTGGAGTTTGGAATGGGGAGAGTCAGCAGATAGCATCACCATGAACCCAGCTGCAAATGAGAAACTTGCCTCCAGATGTTGATTTGTGTTCCCTTCCTTTCTCTGCGTGTTGCTTGCTGCAGTCTGTTTAATACATAGACACCCACCCTCATGTAAGTGAGAGCTCCACCTCCCTCTGGTTCAGCTGCTGTGTTTGGGTTGCCTTCTACAAAGTTACAGGGAGAGAGTCAATAGATTCCTTCTCCGAGTGGATGACTGCCAAAAGCGAAGGCTGCATTGGCTGTGCAGCTGCGCCCAGGAATCTCCCCTCTTCTCTTCTTGTCAAACTATCTTCATCTGAGTTATCAAAGTCTGTGTTTCTCATATATTCCTCATTCTCTGCATCTTTTACCTAAAGCAGTGTCTGCACTCAAGTTAATTAGTAGATCAGCCGAGCAACAACTGCACTCTTCTCTGCAGCAGAGCCAGCAGGTCTAGGTGTGAGGCTGGCACTGCTGCGCCAGCAATCAATGCAGTTTTTTGGGGTGCCAAAAAAATGTGGTTAGGGATGGAGAGTGTCCCAGAATCCTGTAAGAGATCCCAAAGGGTGCCTCTCAGATTAAAGTGCAGCTATAGCTGAACCTTTCTGTCTGCAATGTGGGATGCATAGAATATTGCAGGGTCTATCCTGTGGTTTATTTCCATCACTTTCAGTTGTACAATGTCCCCTTGACCTTCCTCCTTTCTGTCCTTTGGTGCCCATCACATCATAATTTTTAGGATTAACTGAGAATTCCTGTGCTGCAAGAACAATTACTGCTTGGGTCTACAGCAAAATGCTGTCAGATGGAGGTTTGCTGCTCAGTGCCCCAGCCAGCGAAAAATTCTGTCTTCCGGAAGAATCTGTCCTGTCCCACCTGCAGTTTTCTTCCCCGCCCCTCTCCAGACTTTCAATGTGCTGAGGCAGCTGAGCATGCTCAGTCCTTATTGGACCATTTTATTTTGGGGGATGGCAGGGGTTGCCCCCTTAACACCCCCCCTAAAATTGGTACTTCTGCAAACTGCATAGATGTGCATGCTGCTATCATCCTCCTCTTTTACACTGGACATGGTTTAGCTATAATCCTGTTGACACTCACCAAGTGAGGTTGGTGGTTGTGGTGGTGGTGATAATCAATCAATCAATCAATCAATCAATCAATTAATTAATTAAGGTATTACAAATTCCCCATAATTCCCCAGGGCTTGCTGTTTTCCATAGAAAGTAAACTCTCTGAAACTCGCACTCAGAGCAGGGTTCATGCCTAAACATAGGAAGGAGAAGCCATGCTTTGGTTGATTCTGGTGTGTGAAGTGGATGGAGGATTTATGTGATAGAAATAGTTCTTGCAAAAGCAGCACAAGTCAGGCTTTGCTTCTGGGTTTGCCATATCTTTGAATCTCTTGGGAGCTTGTATGAGAAGGGTGTCGGGAGCATCATTTACTTCTCCATCCTGCATAACGAAGGAGGGAAGTGGATGATAGATAGACGACTTAAAACAAGCCCGGAGGCAGCAGCTAATAAGACGAATTTTGCAGCTTCTCATGGGACCAACGTAAAGGCCATTAACCACCAGCAGAAATCTCATGCCAAGCTAATGAGCATCAGCCTGGTCGTGAGAAATTAGAGATGGAGTCTTTCAATGAATTAAACCCTAATTGTTGTAACAGTATGGTTTTAGAAATTGCCCAGGCAGAGAGGGCTGGCTTCTAGCACACCAAGAATGCATGAGCCAAGAACAGTTGTTTTTTTGGAGTCGACCACAATCCAGATGGTATTTACAGTTCAGTTGCATATTTTTGGCCATGGTGCTATGTCTTTCTTCAAAGCTGGCTTCGTTTACTAGCTAAGAGCCTCTAGCAGGCTGCAATGTTTAAGCAACAACAACATGGGACAGGCTAGTGCTCCACATTTGTTTACTTTCCTCGGTGCACATTTTAGAGGCTGTATTTTAAAATTAAACACCCATTTAACATAACTCAGAAGATTTGACCAATGACATCAATGGCTAGCCATGATGCTGTATAATTGCTCCACTGCTGAAGGCTGTATGCCTCTTAACATCAGTTTCCGTGGAGCACAAATGTGAGAGAGTGCTGTTGTGCTTGTATCTGGCTACCAAGCTTCCCACAGGGATCTAGTTGACCACAGTGAGAAGAGGACACAGGGCTGGATGAGCCTTTGGTCTGCTCCTCTAGGTATGTTCTTATGACACTGCCAATACATTATTGCCCCGGTTACTGACTGCTCAGCTTATATGCAATTATTCTCATATAGATTCACAATAGCCCGGTATAATCCATCACAAAAGTTCAAAAATACCGATAGGAGTGATTCTCACTACTGAAAATTGGCCTGGCTGTGTGGCAAGCTCCAGGTATCATACAATTGGCTGAGCAACCATCCGTCACGGCATGGCATGTCCAGATAGATTTTCAATCTGCAATGAAAGTGTGTGGGTGTAATCGTCATTGCAGCCTAAAAACCAATTGGGGAAAATAATAATCTGACAAATGCATGGCTGTTTGGCTCACTCATTGATTTTATTGTCCAGCCGGGGGCAATTTTTCAGTCATGTGAATCTACCCCGAGGAGTTCATTCATGCATGCATGTCACTCAGCGGCTCACACCTGAATGTGTGAGGTGATTCCTTTGGAAAGTGTTGCTTAGGAGATTCCATGGAAGCTCTTTCTCTGGGAAACTGATTGGTGCTGAGACTGGTTCAGTATTAGCTACACAGATTGGCAGCAGCTCTCCAGAGTTTCAGACAGGAGCCCCTCATTTCCTACCTGGAAATGCGAGGGGTTTAACCTGGCACATTTTGCAAGCAAAGTATGTGATTTTCCCATGAGCCTTTCCCTTTCTGTACTGTTTCCCACATGCAAGTGTCCCTAGTGCTTGTTGCCATTATCACCTGGCGGATAGGCACGTGGGAGCTCACTTTCCATATACAATCCTGATTAAGCATTTAAATTCACAATAAAGCAATATTTGCAAAAGTTTAATACAGTGGTGAAGGTAAAGGTACCCCTGCCCATACGGACCAGTCTTGACAGACTCTAGGGCAGTGTTTCCCAAACGTTTTTGGGCAACGGCACACCTGTTTACTGAAAAAAAATCTCGCGGCACACCACCATTAAAGCCCCGCCCCGTGACGTCAGCGCGCAGCGTCACGCCGGGAGGGATGCACAAAAGTGAAAGTTTTTTCCCTCCCCCTTGCTGGGGAACCTCCAAGCTTTGGGGGTGGGAGGAGGCAGCAGAGCGAGGGACTGAGGGATGGCGGCAACTGAGGCGGCGGCGGCTGAGGCAGAGCTGGGAAGGGGGTTTCCAGGGGACACGGCAGCTCCTCGAAAGGCTTCTCTCAGCTGCGCTCAATCCGCCTCGGAGAGGATTTCCCCTCCGGTCCCATGCGTTCGTTTGGGGCATCGCTCCGGCTGCTCCCTCTCCCGCCGCGCAGGAGCGATGCCTCTCTCTGGCTCTCCCTCCGCGCAGGCTGAGGGAGGGAGGGAGGGGCGCGTGTGACCCGTCTCTGCTGGGAGACCAAACCCAGCGAGGCAGAGTCACGCGGAGGCGCCCAGGCAGCGCTGCCGGCTGCGAGGAGGAGCGCCAGGCAGCAGCAGGAGGCGCGGCCTCTCCTCGCCGCCGCCGCCCCGCCTCTCGCCGCCCGACTCGCCCGCCTCCCTCCAGGCATCTCGCGGCACACGAGGCAACGTCTCACGGCACACTCGTGTGCCGCGGAACACCGGTTGGGAAACACTGCTCTAGGGTTGTGCGCCCATCTCACTTAAGAGGCCGGGGGCCAGCGCTGTCCGCAGACACTTCCAGGTCATGTGGCCAGCGTGACAAGCTGCATCTGGCGAGCCAGCGCAGCACACGGAACGCCGTTTACCTTCCCACCAGTAAGCGGTCCCTATTTATCTACTTGCACTTTGACGTGCTTTCGAACTGCTAGGTTGGCAGGAGCAGGGACCGAGCAACGGGAGCGCACCCCGCCGCGGGGATTCAAACCGCCGACCTTTCGATCGGCAAGTCCTAGGCACTGAGGCTTTAACCCACAGTGCCACCCGCATCCCCCAATACAGTGGTACCTCGGGTTAAATACTTAATTCGTTCCTGGCGTCTGTTCTTAACCTGAAACTGTTCTTAACCTGAAGCACCACTTTAGCTAATGGGGCCTCCCACTGCTGCTGTGCCACCAGAGCAGGATTTCTGTTCTCATCCTGAAGCAAAGTTCTTAACCCGAGGTACTATTTCTGGGTTAGCGGAGTCTGTAACCTGAAGCGTATGTAACCTGAAGCGTCTGTAATCCAAGGTACCACTGTATTGTAGCTGTTGCTGGACCATACCTTAGGCAGCACCCAGAGCATGGGTAGGCAAACTAAGGCCCAGGGGCCAGATCCAGCCCAATCGCCTTCTAAATCTGGCCCACAGACGGTCCAGGAATCAGCATGTTTTTACATGAGTAGAATGTGTCCTTTTATTTAAAATGCATCTCTGGATTATTTGTGGAGCATAGGAATTCGTTCATCCCCCCCCTCCAAAAAAAAAAAAAATCCGGCCCCCCACAAGGTCTAAGGGACAGTGGACCGGCTGAAAAAGTTTGCTGACCCCGCCCACTGCTTCCCCATCACCAGAACCCTGTGTTTCCTTGAAGTAAAGCCATTTTTCACATGCAATCCTAAGCATGTTTATTTGAAAGCTAACTCTGCAATATCAACAGGACTTTGTAGGAAACATGTCGTTAGACAAAGCAATCCCTCCAGCTATCACCTTGAAAATAACTTTTAGGTTAAATGCAGTTAATAACTATATCTGCACCAACATTTCAGTGGCAGGATTTATGATAAAATAAAACTGCTATTGTAGCATCCCCACAAGATAACTGATATCTGCGATACGCTATGTTAAATGTGATGGATAAGTGTCTTAAGTGTGTTTTCCTCACCTTTGCACCAGGCCTAGCAAACTCAGTCCAATCCATCCTGTGAGTCAAGACTCGCTCCCATTAACCTTCTAACTCAGAAGGAGGAAGAAATTCTTATTGCCCGACGTTGATATATTTCATATTATTTGCAACTATGCGAATGGTGCAGTGTTACGGAAATATATTAAGACTCAGAAAAACTGTTCTTTGCCCAAGGGGACACACTTCTCTGCATTAAATAAATAAGTGGGAGGGGAGTTGACAAGGTAGCTAATTCTGGGGATTTGACTGTAACAACCATGGAGCGTTGGTGGTGGTAGGGAGCAAATTGCCTTTCAGATCTAGTACTATATTTAATTAACTAATTGCCTGAACATGTTTATGGTGCCATCTCTCTCCCTTGCTTCGAGTCCCTCCTTCTGTGTGGCCTGTGAATTATCTTCTGAATCCTTTAAGCACACGTAGTGGCATTTGTCCACAACCCTCAATCCCCTCCACACTGGGAGCCAGCGTGGTGTAGTGTTTAAGAGCGGTAGACTCGTAATCTGGTGAACCGGGTTTGTGTCTCCGCTCCTCCACATGCAGCTGCTGGGTGACCTTGAGCTAGTCACACTTCTTTGAAGTCTCTCAGCCCCACTCACCTCACAGAGTGTTTGTTGTGGGGGAGGAAGGGAAAGGAGAATGTTAGCTGCTTTGAGACTCCTTCGGGTAGTGATAAAGTGGAATATCAAGTCCAAACTCTTCTTCTCCTATCACCATTGCCCCCACAATGTCTGTCTTTGTCTCTGAGCTTCTTGGGGCCTTTCTGTTTTACCTATAAGTTGTCCTTTGCAGTGATGGCCAAATATGAAGAACTCCTCCTCCTCCTCTTCCTTATTTCTTATTTTTTCTCTCCCTCCTCCTCTTGTTCTATCCAGGACCAGGAAACCTCTTTCCCAAGAGCATTGTCGGTTCAGAGGCTTTCTCCTAGATGGTGCTTCCTAGATGGTAAGTGCAGAAGATGGTTTCATTCCTCCTTGCAGCAAAGAGGACGTAGGCTGTTTATACACTAAACCTTTAAAGCACATTCCGAACACATTCTTTCTCTCAAAAGATTTCTGGACGCTGTAGTTTACCCCTCACAGAGTTACAATTTCCAGCAAGCCTTAACAAACTACAGTGCCCAGAATTCTTTTAGGAAATGAATGTGCTTTACTGGTATCGTGTATACACGGTCTGAGAAATCTACTTAGACACTCACATTTCAGAGTTTTGCCAAGGGTAACTGTAGTGGCGGACCTTGGTGTCTCAAATTTCAGTGGCACCCTGTGTGGCGCCAAAATCCAGTGCCCCCTGCCTCTTGTCTCCCATTCCGTTCAGCCCAGACACTGAGATCCAGGGCTGAGTGCCTTCGGGTGGTTCCCTCACTGCAAGAAGTGAAGCTACAGGGAACCAGGCACAGGGCCTTCTCGGTAGTGGCACCCACCCTGTGGAACACCCTCCCATCAAGGAAATAAACAATTATCTGACATCTGAAGGCAGCCCTGTTTAGGGAAGTTTTTTAATGTTTGATGTTTTATCACATTTATTTATTTATTTATTTATTTATTTATTTATTTATTTATTTTTATTCCGTTGGGAGCCGCCCAGAGTAGCTGGGGAAACCCAGCCAGATGGGTGGGGTATGTATGTCTGTATGTCTGTCTGTCTGTATGTATGTATGTCTGTATGTATGTATGAATGAATGAATACAGCAATAGTGGTAGATCCTGCTCCAGCATCCAGAAGCTCTGAACCCAGTGTGACCATACCTGTCCCATTCCCCTAGAGCAGCCTCTGATAATTGAAGCTTTTCTAGCTGTCCTTAAAATGAATCTTGAATCTACTGTCTGTTAAATCAATACATGTGTGTATTCCATTATCATCCACCATCAAGACGATCAGTTGTTGTTGACGATGTGTGTAATGTTAATTATGGAGAGTACGGCTGGTGTCCTGTAGCACCTGCTATCTGAGATGTTACTTGGTAATACATTTCTCCCCCCTACCCCAGAAGAGACAAGGGGGAGCCCCTGGGGAAATCCTGCCATTTTGGAAATATGTTATTATCAAACAAGAGTATTGCAACGCTATTTTCTTGCCTTATTTGTCTACTTATTTATTTCCCATGCTGGTCTTACAAAGTCTCAAAATAAAATGCGTAACTGAAATGCAGGTCCATTCTACACATGATTGCTAATATACCAGCTGTCCATCAAATGTCTTAAATCACACGCACAAACAACACATGGTCACATGTTACAGGGTAATCCTATTCATGCTTATTATAGGCTGTATGATTATATAACAGACGAATTCTGCAAGAACAAATACCCCAGGATCTCAGTGAGCTTTATGTGCACATGTACTTTGCAAACACTTTATACTGTACACCTTCGGATGAAGGGTGTTGCATAAATTTAATAAATAAAATAAATGAATAGCATGGTTGAAGCATCAAAATAGAATTGTTGGGTGGTGGGTTGTTGTTGTTTTGGTATGTAAGAGTTTTTACTGCTGAGATTTTTGCTGAACTTTTAGCAGAAGAAGAAATAGCAAGCTTTAAGAACATTTTTCCTCCAGACTTTTTCTTTAATGTAGTTATTTCCTTCTTATTTCTAGCAACTTCGGCCGATCGCTTTTACCGCATCGACAGATCTCAGGTACACCACAGCACCTTTTCTTCCTTTCATTCCCCTTAAAGCAATCCTTGCCACCGTAGTGCTCTGATTGTATTTTGTACTCCCACCAGTCCCAGCCAGGCCAGTCAAAAACATCCGGAGTCTGAAACATCTGGAAGGCACTAGGTTGGCAAAGGAACTGCTTTAAAAGATTATGTCAGATGGTAAAGGTAAAGGTAAAGGGACCCCTGACCATTAGGTCCAGTCGTGACCAACTCTGGGGTTGTGGCGCTCATCTCACTTTATTGGCCGAGGGAGCCGGCGTACAGCTTCCGGCTCATGTAGCCAGCAGGACTAAGCCGCTTCTGGTGAACCAGAGCAGCACACAGAAACGCCGTTTACCTTCCCGCCGGAGCGGTACCTATTTATCTACTTGCACCTTGACGTGCTTTCAAACTGCTAGGTTGGCAGGAGCAGGGACTGAGCAATGGGAGCTCACCCCATCGTGGGGATTCGAACAGCCGACCTTCTGATTGGCAAGTCCTAGGCTCTGTGGTTTAACCCACAGCGCCACCCGTGTCCCCTATGTCAGATGGTACAGGATTGGATTTACCATTATACTCCAGGACAATAACCAAATAGCAAAATCTTGTTATATCTAATTGTTTATCAGTTGCAGAATTGGGGCAGATGATCAAGTGTCCATCTATAGGATACGTTTGATCTGTGATGTTCAATGACCTCAGAAGGAGATGGACTCTCCTACCCTGGAAGTTTTTAAACAGAGGTTGGATGGCCATCTGTCAGGGACACTTTAGCTGTGATTCCTTCACTTCAGGGGTTGGACTAGATGAACCGTGGGGTCTCTTTCAACTCTACAATTCTATGATTCTAAGCAATGCTGAATTAAAATTCTAGGATGTGCTGCACATTTTTTTGCAACCCAGGACTCCAAATCTCAGAGAAAACTTGAGCCCGTGGTTTAAATGTTGGAACCTCAAATTCAAAAATATCGGAGACTCTTGCATTCAGTAGAGTATGAATTAAATAAAACACCCTGTGTGAACTGGCAGGAGACAGCCAAAGTCAAAAGAACATTCAGAGGCAAAAAGGATCTGCTCTGTCTTCCTGGCTCAAACCCAGTTTGATGTCTAATAGCACAACTTTCGTCTCCTTTCTTGCTTATCTTTCTGTGCTCGGGACAGCTGCATTTTAAAAAGTAAATCTCCGCGTTTATCTCCTTTTGCTGTTTACAGTCTGCCTGAAATCCTAATCCACTGCATGGGAGATAAGATAACTCTGGAAATTATGATAATGTTACAAGCCAGTACAAAATACATCTCCATGCTTTAAAAGCACATCAAACTAATGGTACCGACATTTGTCAGAAATGTAGCACTTTGTGTGCGTGTTTAGCACTTACTGGAAGTTTCGCAAACAGTAGTAGTAATTCTGTTTAGGCTTCCTTTTCTAAAAAACAAAACAACATTTATTGGCTGTGCAGCTGCAACAAACTAACTAAAGGTGTGTTTGATGCTTTCTGGGACTATAAGCAGAGCCCTATTGCATCAGACCAATGGTCCATCCATTCCAGCATCCCATCTACTGTATATATTTCTGCTGCAGTCCTATAGAATGTGTGGAGCTCAATGTGATGTGTGTATAAAGGTAAAGGTAAAGGTAAAGGTAAAGGTAAAGGTGAAGGGACCCTTGACCGTTAAGTCCAGTCGCGAACGACTCTGGGGTTGCAGCACTCATCTCGCTTTACTGGCCGAGGGAACTGATGTTTGTCCACAGACAGTTTTTCCGGGTGATGTGGCCAGCATGACTAAGCCGCTTCTGGTGAACCAGAGCAGTGCACAGAAATGCTGTTTACCTTCCCGCCGGAGTGGTACCTATTTATCTACTTGCACTTTGACGTGCTTTCGAGCTGCTAGGTTGCCAGGAGCAGGGACCGAGCAACGGGAGCTCACCCCATTGTGGGGATTTGAACCGCCAACCTTCTGATCAGCAAGCCCAAGAGGCTCTGTGGTTTAGACCACAGCGCCACCCACATCCACAATGTGTGTATACTTGGAAATAAATCCCATTGAATTCAACAGAACCTATTCCCCAATCATTTCCCTTTAGCATTTTTTCAGCCCATATTTTATGGTCGCCTGCCTCATTTTATAGGAGGGAATTGAAACTGGGAGAATGAGCAAATGGGGCACTGCCCCACTAACCTCAGCCTCTGCTCAGCCAGACTCAACCAGCCTGTCTTATTACTTACATGCAATCCTGGCAGTAGCACTGCCAATCATCTTCCTCCTCCTTAGTCACAGTGTGAACATCCAGGGTGTAGGATGGAGACAAAACTAGAATTAGTTGGCTCTGCCTGACAGTAGTGCTGGCTTCACTTGATTTTGGTCTCCCTGCTTTCTGCCCAGCCAGTCCCAATGGGCAGCTGCCCCCGCTGAGATGGTGACCCAGTGAGTCTAACACTATGTACCAATGGCCCAGTTCCAACCCACTCTCCACTGTTTGCAAGAGTCATGGAATCATAGAACTGTAGAGAGTTGGGAGGGACCCCAAGAGTCATTCAGGAATCTCAGCTAAAGCATTTATGACAGGTGACCATCCAACCTCTGCTTAAAAACCTCCAAGGAAGGAGAGGCCACAACCTCCCGAGGGAGACTATTCCACTGTCAAACAGCTCTTACTGTCAGAAAGTTTCGTTGGAATCTCCTTTCTTGTAACTTGAAGCCATTGGTTCAAGTCTTTCAATAAAAGCACCCAGCTTGTGGTGGTCAGTTGAAATCTCTGTGCATATTGACCCCTCCTTAAAGCCAGCCATTCACCATGCACAAGATCCAGGGGTGGCTTTTGTTGTTTGTTTTTGCATTATATGGTGTGTTGGGAAATAAAAGACATTTCTGGTGCTGTCCCCTTAATGGACTTCTTTGTGTGATGTTTGGACACGCATGCTTGGTTATCTAAGGACATAAGAAGAGCCTGCTGGATCAGGCCAGTGACCCATCAGTTCCAACATCCTGTTTTCACAGTATTCAGTCAGATGCCTGTGGGAAACCTTTATATAGCACCCAACCACAAGAGCACTCTCTCCTTCCTGCAGTTTCCATCAACTTGCATCCAAAAACATTACTGCCCCTGATCATGATGGCAGAGTGTAGCCAACATAGCTGATCAGTAGGACTTTCCCTCCATTAATTTGTCTAATCCTGTTTTAAAGTATTGGTGACCATTACTGTCTCCTGTGGGAGCGAGTGCCATCGTTTAATTATGCATTGCATGAATAAGTTTTCTTCTGCATTTTCTATCTACAAGGAAAGCTTTTGTATGGGAAGGATTTTCAGTTCCTTTCCACACAATGGCCATGACCTGCTAATCATGGCAAACACTTTCTTTATGTCTAGAAATTGAGTTCCATTGAGTTCATTGTGCACAAACTATGGATTAATCATTCACTCTCATGCTGTTGCTGCAGGAACATTTGCACTTCGTGACTGAAATTTCGCAGGACGAGATTTTTATTCTGGACCCAGAAATGGTGGCAACGCAGCCTGCAGGGACGCCTCCAGGAATGCCTGATCTGGTAGTGGAGCAGGCCTCTGGGTAAATTTCTTCTTTTCCCCCAGCATGAAGTGGGATCTGGAAGTCTCTGTACATATCTTTCCTTTGTATAATGGGAGCTGCTCCAGAGGACAGTTTCATGCATTCACCGTTGTGAAGAGTACAAAAAGGGAGAAAGTGTTCATACAGGCTAAATTTCAAACCAGAGATGTGTGGCTAATGTTTGCTCCTTTGAGAGATGCAAGGACTCAGCCTACACGGGAATTGGGCATCCTGCTTGCTTCAGGTTACCCAGATACCAGTTATTGGTCCTGATGGTTTTAACTGCCAGTGACTTCTGAATTTTTGCTCCTCTGACTTAGACTAAATAAAGGAACATTAGTTTTATGCAATTGTATGCAAACTGCTTCAAAGAATTTAGAACCTGTTTGATTGGTGCTACTTTCCTAAAGGCATCCTGGGAATTTATTTGTTTATTTTGCTTAGAGGTTTCTTCACCAAAAATGGTCACAGTTCAGAAAAAAAGAAGAAGGTACAATGAAACATCTGTCTTATCTATTTTAAACTGAAGATTGTTGTGCATTGTAAGAAATGCCTTTTAGATTTTCACAACAAATCTTAATTGCCTTTCATCAGTGTTGTGTCTGAAATAGTCCATGAGTGGCAATCCAGATGGCAGGAGTATCAGGAGTTCAGCGGAAGAGCCCTCTTGCAACCTTATAAGATTGGCAGGTGAAAATAATGGTTAAGGAAACATGCAAGAGTATGAGAAGAGTTGTGAATAATCAACTCTGCAGAGAAGCAAGGCATGGAATGATCATCTTCTGGGAATAGTAATATGGATGAATCAGTCAGTTTCAGTTTGCCCCCACACCTGCAAAGGAGCCTCAGAGACAGCACTGGAATTAGAGTTATATTTATTCGAAATAGAACAAGTTGGAGAAGCGGCAAACCAACTTCAACCCAATTAACCCAGCTTCAACTAAATTCAAGAAGTACAGGCAGGTGAGGGTTTAACTCATTCTGGTAGGGAAGCATCTCTCAAGCCTTCCTGGGCACATGTTCCAGCCTCAGACTGGAGCTCTCCAGCAAAGGATGTGGAGCAGTAAACAAACACCCTCCTTGCCAGGGTGCTGAGCAATCATCCAAGGTGCGCATGCCAGGCCTCGAGGATGCCTCCATGTCACCCCAAACACAAAGTACTGGCAGATCTCCGAAGAATGTCCTCTACCCAATAACGCCTCATTTCCCTCATTATCTCTTCACCCATTCTTTCCTTCCCTGTCCATGCTTCATGCTGCAACAGGCACCATCCACACCACTGCAGGAATGCTGAATGAACGGAACAATGTGAAGCAGGCAAAAGGCAGGCGGGTTCCTAGGCCAATCAGGCTGCACCCCCCCCCAAAAAAAATACCGATCCTTCAACGGATGATTTGCTAATGCCCACATTGCACACAGGAAAAGAGGAAGCTTGCAAACCAGTAAAGAGAAAGAATTGGCTTATTAAACCCTCACTTTGCTGTCTCAGCATGTGATCCCCTCATCCTTTCCCTTTGGAAGCAACAAGCTCCTGAGCTGTCTTCTGGAGCAGGGAAGGAGTGGGGAAAAATATGCACCCACTTTAGAGGTGGGAGTGAAATTTTCTCAGTCTCTCATTTAGCCCGTCTTCTGTTTGCCCCATATCTGCTGCAGTTTGCAATTGCTGCTTGATTGTAAAGCAAAGCAAAGCAAAGCAAAGCAAACTTAAAAGCAGTTCCTTAAAATGTCAGCATGTAAATTTTCCCCAATATACCAAGGTTGGCTTGCAACTTCACCTGTTAGAAAAATTCCCTAATTTATGTATTTTTGCATTCAGTTCACTGATTTGTGTGCACTAATACCCCCCCCCCCCGTATGCATTGTTTTTGGCATGAGCACAGAACTTCAACATTTGGAGAAGCACAAATTTAGCCGTGTTTCAGTTAGCGTGTGGGTTCCTGAAGTGCTAATTAAGTAGGTTCACATTTGAAAAGGTGAACCAAGCAGCACTACCCCACCCCCACCCCGCTCCCCACCCCACCAAAAAATAAAGCAAAAAGTCCCATCTGAGAATAATGGTGTTTTCCATTTGGAAATCTTTTTCTCAGAATATCAGATCGGTGGAATCCTGCTGTTCGAAAGCGCATGCTGAGCGACAGCGGCCTGGGGAAGATGTCCCCTCACTACGAGGTACCTGAGAAACAAAAGGAGGCCAGCAAGGCGCACATGCTGCAGTAAGAGCCCTCTGCATTTCTCTGCTTGATGCTGCATTGCTACCACCACCAAAGGCAATTTTACCTGCTCTTTTACAATGCGTTTTCGATACACTGTTCTGATGTGCTCTGCATTCTCTGCTTTCTCTCAATCTGCCTCATACTTTTTCATCTTCTTTATTATTTTTTAAATCTACATTGTGCACCCTTGATTCAAACTAAGCCAGGGCATATCTGAACTGCAAAGTCTAGGGAATGTTGCAACATTTGAACGAGGAAGAAAGGTTGTTTTCTGCTGCTCCAGAGAAGCGGACACGGAGCAATGGATCCAAACTACAAGAAAGAAGATTCCACCTAAACATTAGGAAGAACTTCCTGACAGAAAGAGCTGTTCGACAGTGGAATTTGCTGCCAAGGAGTGTGCTGGAGTCTCCTTCTTTGGAGGTCTTTAAGCAGAGGCTTGACAACCATATGTCAGGAGTGCTCTGATGGTGTTTCCTGCTTGGCAGGGGGTTGGACTCGATGGCCCTTGTGGTCTATTCCAACTCTATGATTCTAAAAAGAGAATGTACATTCTAAGAAGAGAATGTACGAAGCTGCTTTATATATTGAGTCAGACCATTGGTGTATGTATGGCATGTTAGGCGAAGGGCAGTACCTCTGGTGGGGGACATGTGCCCCTTTGATCCCCACCCTACACTCAGATCTCACCTGTGACAGCAGCCACATCCCAGGAAACAGTTTGACTGGGTGGCTAAACCAGGCAAGGGTAGCCGATGAGTCTTCAACCCTCAGTGAGTTAGGGACTTTGCGGAAGAGACCAATAATGGGTTCAATGGGTCAGGAAGGCTGTTTCTGTACATTCTGCAGAGGGAAATGAGGGGCAGATGGGGCTCATCAATCTGGGAAGGTATCCCACCCAGGAGAAGGAAAACTTGGATGTTAAACCTCCACTGCTTTGCGGCTATACTCAATTGGGATAAAGGCTTCGGGAACAAACCCTTAGGAATAACCTCTATCTGCTGCCTTGTGGGGCACCTTTGGGAGAATGTATATACACATGCAGTTGTACCTTGGTTTTCGAACAGCTTAGTTCATGAACAACTTGGAACTCGGAAGTAGCTGTTTCGGTTTGCGAACTTTGCCTCAGACGCTGAACATCTGGCGTGGCTTCCGATTGGCTGTAGGAGGTTCCTGCAGCCAACTGGAAGCCGCACCGTGGTTTCTGAATGGTTTGGAAGTTGAACGGACTTCCGGAATGCACTCTGTTTGAAAGCTAAGAGTACCACGTACATAACTATATATATGCGTGCGCACACACACTTGTCACAAGAAGCATTTTAGGTCTTCTTGAATTGGCCATGTCAGGTCTTTATGGTGCTCTCTGTGTATCTTGGAAATTTATTTTCGAAACACTCACCAGGCTGTCCTGACCTTTCTTGGATCACGTGGGCAGAGCAGATCACAACTCCAAGGCTGGGGGCCTCTGGAATGCCTGAGCTATAAATCCAAAGAGCAATACTTTCAAATTCTCGCTGGCCATAAGTGAAGCTTCTCTGAAGGGAAGACAAAAAGGGGGTGGGGGGGGGGAGAGAAAGAGAATCCATTCCCTGACCCTTAGCAGCATTCCAGAGCAACTTGAATAATTGTAGGCTCATCCATGACAGTTTTGGTAATGGACAAGAAAGACAGGAGTGCACTCTGTGAAGAACAGCTAGTGATGGTTCTTAAGATGGCACATTAATTTAGAGCCCCAAATTTACTTGCATTTTCACCCCCTTTTTTTGCCCATGTACATTCTTGCCCTCCTGGTTCAGAATTATAACATGGAGGCAGAAGAAGGAAGCACATAGAATGAAGGCAATTGCACAACTCTCTCTTTCCTTCTGTTTGTCTTGCATCACAACTTCTGCACAATTTTTATTTGTAACCTTTAGCGCAATTTCATTTCCACCCCACCTTTCCTTTGGGGAGCTCAGATTGGCATCCACATTCACCTCTCTGCATTGTGCTTCTTGTACACCATGTAGAGATGATTGCATTTCGGCAGCATGCAAACTGTTTAAATAGCTTATAAATAAAATAAATCTGCCGAACACCCCTTTGAAGTTGGCTAGGATCATGGGGATTTGAACTCTGACCCTAGTCTGACTGTATAGAATCTGACCACGGCTCCAGACTACCTCTTCAGCAGCTGATTTTTAAATTTATTGCTTTATTTGGCAAATTATTCACATATACAAGAAAAAAAATGTTCCCTCTCTCCTATGTGGACAGACTCAGAGGTGTTTGTTTTCCCAAGAGCTAGACTTGCAATTCATTTTTGTGAAGGCCACATTTACATGATGCATGTCTTGATCTTGAGACACATGGGAGTTTTTCTAATTTATATCTGGTGTACAATTTATGCATTTTTTGTCCAAACTGATTGCTGAAATTGACTTGATTTTTAAAAACAGAAGGTGTGCAAGACTCTTGGCTCCTCAGTCCTGATTTAAGCATCCTTTCTTCTCCTCTTGATAGTGATGTAGAACTGTGGTAAATGAGGACTGAAATATGTGAGGACTGGGGCAGGATTCTCATGCATTTGTTCCATCAGCATCTCCTGCATCTGCCACCAGGGCCAGTGGCTCTGACAGGTATCAGCAGTAGCCTGGCCAGGAAGTCCTGGCCTGTGAAGGACTTAACATATGACTGCCAAAGTTGGCTGCCATTGAGAAGACAGGAGGCAGTGTAGTAGTTAGAGGGTTGGACCAGGACCTGTGAGACCAGAGTTCAAATCTCCACTGGGTGATCTTGAGTCACTAACTCACAGCCTAACCTACCTCACAGTGTTGTTTTTGTGGGTTATAAGTGTCAATAATTAGTAAGAAAGATCATACTCTCCAACATTTTTCTGATGAAAATGGGTACATCCCATTCCATAATGATCATTTTACTATTTATACGCCACACATATTATTGGGTTGCCCCAGCACTCTGGGCAGCTTCTAACATATATAATAACATAATAAAACACTAAACGCACCAAAAAACTTCCCAAAACAGAATTGCCTTCAGATGCCCCAGGGGTCGGATAACTCCATACCTTCCAACATTTCTCCAATGAAAATAGGGACTTCCTAGGGAAAAGTGGGACATTCTGGGATCAAATCGGAAACTGGGACAGCTTCTCTAAATCAGGGACATCTCTGGAAAATAGGGAAAATAGAGGGTCTGTAAGAGTGGTCATTGGAACATCAGATGAATGAGGGAAAACAAGTATACCCAAGTAACATGTGCCTGTTTTATTGTATTTTAAATATATTGCAAACTATCACGAGAACTTTGGTTAGCAGGCAGGGTATAAATACTGAAAGTGAACAAATGAATATGCTAGTGTCAGGGAACTGCCATCAGGTCAGAGGCAGTTGTGTTATAGGGAACCTCCAAAGATCTTGCAAAGCAGCTCCTCCTTTGGCGAAGAGGAAAGCCCCACTTTCAGTGGAGAGGAGGTGGTGGGACCAGGGGATGCTAGGGAGAGCCTCAACATCGAGCCTGAGCAAATCGGAGGGGAGGGAAGTACCCCTTTGCCAGTGCCCAGTCTGCGCAGCAGGTTACGGCACAAGGAAGGGAGGAGAAGGCTGGGGGTCACGCGACTGTTATGCTGGGGGAGGTACAAGGACCGCCCACTCCCAGATTCTGCTAGCAACTGAGCCGGACATGAACTTGCGATGCTCTTCACTGTAAATAATAATAATAATAATAAAGCCTGGAAAAGACAGGTTGGAGTCTTGCCTGTTTGCTCTCGAGCAACCACACCACCAGCTGACAGCTAGCAAGAGACTTGTTGGGCAACAGCAATGACAGCTTTGTCACATGTGTGCTCCTTGCGATCTAAATTCGAAACATGCCAGTTTGGCTGTGTGAATGGGATCTGGATGCAGCCACATGTCCTTTCCCCATCCCTACATCTGGGAAGGACCCCTCCAACCAAACTGAGTTTGCCTAATTTCAACTGATGTTGTGATGCTTGTTATTTCCTGCCATCGTCCTTGGGCAGAAACACCAAACCAAAATTCTGTCTGCATAAATTAAACCTAGGCGAACGACATTTTCCTTGCATTTGGCCCTCTCGCCCTCCTGGTGTTTGAGGTCAGGGGTAGATGGCACACAGCTGCTTCTGGTGAGAACAGGAACATTTTTGGGTGCTGTCCAGATGTGGTGGTGAAAAAAGAGTATACTATAAAGTGTTGAATTGCTGCCATCCTCTCCCATTCCTATTCTCAGTGAATAATGTTTTTTATATAATACAAATTCCCTGAAGTGGAAGCAAGATTGCTCTTTCCCCCTCCTCCGAATCTTGGAAGCAGAGACTCTTAATTATGTTTTTGTAGCATCTCTGCACCTGACGCATCGTGGAGGAAATTTGCCCTGCTGACAAATTGCTCTGGCAGGTAGTGACACACAAAATGCACCCACATGCCAGGAGCTTACAAATTGGCATCTTCCAAACAAGCTTGCTGTTGACTAGCGCCACCTCCATTCCTTTCCTTTTCCCCTTCCCTCCTTCCGTCTCTGAAATGAACAACTAAGCTCCTAACCTTTCTTTGGGACTGATTTCAAGGAGATTGGCTAAGAACATCAGTGGCCCTGGCGCAAAAATGTTTTGCTGCAATTTAGATTTTAAATGCTCTTCGAATATTGCCAGCGACTAAAGCAAAGGCAAACAAAAAAACATTTTGACAGTGAAGTATAAGACCTTAAAAAATGTTGGAATACATTTTAGGATACAAACTCGATGTTGGCAGAGAAGATAGACATATGATGCCTTTCCCATTCCTCACCATAATGTGAATTATTTTCTCCCCTCCATCCTGGCCTGAGTAGTTGCCTTGACCCGATAAGAATAGGTGGTTTCTTCAGAAGCCTTTGCAGACTTCACTCGTGATATCATTTTCTTTCTTTCTTTCTTTCTTTCTTTCTTTCTTTCTTTCTTTCTTTCTTTCTTTCTTTCTTTCTTTCTTTCTTTCCCCTTCTCT